TTTTTTTGTTTTTGTTTTGTATTGTTTTTATTGTGTTTTGTGTTTTGTTTTTGCTTTGTTTTTTGTTTTTTTTTATTTTGCTTATCAGATTTTTTTCTTGTAAGTTGATTTTTTTTCTCTGGCTCCCCCAACCCCTCCCCCTTTAAAAACGAAAATTATATGTTTCTAATTCGACTAATTAAAAAAAAAATCTGCAGCAATATTCCTTTGACCAGAAAGATGTCATGACTGTATTAAAAAATGATGAAAAACATATCAGTAGAAACTACTCCTTACATCAGTAAAAACTCGTCTGTTCTGTTTATTTGCCTGTGTGAGCAGGTACATTTGAAGCATGCCTTGACAACTCAGTGAAACTCAGTGAATCAGCGTCATGCACTTGATGTCTTAAAATTATTCACATTTTGAGAACTACAGTATCTTTTTGTCAGTTTACTTGAATCAATCTATGATTTTTTTTCTTAGAGATGACGCAAGTTATAATTTCGACTATAGTTTTCTTTTCTGTACATTCGAGCTTCGGTCGAGATTACTCTTAGTGCGGGGTCAAAAGTTACCCTTCACGTATACAGTGTATCTTATAATTTTATATTCTGACGAAATAATGCATGCCTAACAATGACATAATGGAACACTGAGTACAAAGAGAATTTAATAAATGTACACCACTCTTAGACATGTAGCATCAGAGGGGCCTGCCCCCACCTTTTCCACACATTACTTTTTACTGTTGGAAATGTTCATTTAAAGGCTGGTTGACTGCCCCCCCCCCCACCCCCCGTTGCAGTACAGTCAAATGAGGCTAATGTAGTAATGTATGAAAAAAAAATGGTACCGAAAGATTTTTTTTTTAATTTTTTTTTTTTTTGCTTGTCAGGTTTTTTCAGGTAAGTTGATTTTTTTTTTCTCTGGCTGCCCCCCCCCCCCCCATTTAAAAAAAAAACGATACTTCGTCTGTGACCCTACCCAAATGCATAATTTGCAGCTTTTATAATCCACATATCTATACAGATATGACATATATCATGAAAGGCAATTTAACCGAAAGATAAATTAAGTGAAGATTGCAATATAATACATCATCCAAGAAGATACTGTCTATCATTTGAATGCTCGTTTATTTCTTTGAAGTGATATTTCACATAAAGATCAACATACCCCTTTTTCTTTATGAAGTTACGTTTTCTTTTACTAGATACGATATGGGAAAAAAATATTGCATATGCATGTATTGCCCCATTCCATTTTTACAAGGATTGTAGTATATGGATCGTTGTATTCCATGTATTTACTTAAATGTAATGAAAATGGACATTGAATTCGATTAGTTGAGCTTCGACCCCCTCTCCCTCCTCAAGTTCACAAACATCTACGCGCTACCACTTTAAATATATTACGTTTTCACATAAAGATAATATATAAGCGCATAACCTAGTAACTTGTTGCCTTTGCATGGATTTATACAAGGAATGAGTTTAGATTTCATCCATGCTATAAACCGTAACTTTCCCCAAATGAACACAGCGCACACTAGTATGTATACACATAACCACTGACGCATGACAAATGTGTTTCCTAGCCCGTCATACGTATTTTGGCGTATTTTCTTCTATTTGTCCGCTTTTAATTACATTGTAAGTGATTACAGAAAACTGGACAGTAGAAATTATCATTTACAAAGTGATTAAAATACTGTCCGTTCTATTATACACATACTTAATTTTTCCGATTTATTAATTTTAAACTAGGTGCAATAACTGGTCCCTGGAAAACTACCTAGATACGGGAAGCTAAAAAATCTTCGCCTTTGCTCCTGAGGACCGGATTAAGCAAACAAACTAAATGCATATTTATCATGAGGAAGGGTACCTCTTCCAAAATGGTTAATTTCATGGCTCCTTTGTCAGGGATTCTGGTGTTAGGGCGTTGCTCTAATAATTATAAATTGAAAATGTTTTCATTCTTTAAAAATCTTCTCCTCTGCTCTTGTGTATAAAGCCGATAAATAAAATACATAGTTATGATGAGGAAGAGTTCTTCTTAAATTGTGAATTTCATAACCCCTGTGTCAAGGGTTCTAATGTTGGGGCAGGGCTCAAATGATTATTTACTGAAAATACATAAATATTTTGAAAATCTCCTCTGCTTTTTGGTATTAAGCCGATAAACTACGAACGAAGTACATGGTTATGATGAGGAAGGGTGCCTCTTAAAAATATCTTATTCCATTGCCCTGAGTCAGGTGTTCTGGTGTTAGGGTGGGGCTCTTATGATTATATACAGTAAAACTTTTTTTCTAATTCGGAAACCGCTGGTTTCAAATAAATTGGTCTGATTTGACAACATTTCAGTTTTGACAACATTGAATTTTCTGAAGAGAACTTAAAGTTAAGACCGTATTAGGCAGGATTTCCGATAACAGAACATCCGGATTAGACAAGTTTCACTGTGAAAATGCATTACTTCTTTGATGGTTGTATACAGAGTTGAAAACTCGTAAGTTTATAATATAAATTTATAAGTTTATAAATATTATATAAATGTAAATGTTTAAATATATTTATAAACAAATGTGCCTTTTCTCTGGTCCTGGGTATCCAGGAGACAAACAGAGTACAAAATTGTAATTTGTGAAGCGAAGGTGAGTTAATCCCCTTTGCAAAACTGTTTTAATCAAGAATTTCTTGTGTATTATTTTTTAACAGGTATTCTCGATTGAATGAGAATACAAGAAAGAATGTTACATATATAGAAACAAAATAAAAATGAATGTTTGGTTTAGATAAGCAAATCATGCTAATAGTTGGATTCCTATCAGCTGGAAAGCAGTATAAAAGATTGACATAAAGATTCTTTATGTAGCAAAAGAGCCAATAATATACAGTATGTGTATACCATGTTGTCCTGCTTGAAAATTGATGAATTATATTCAGGTTAAGTCATGGAGATCAGAAAACTGCATAAAGTTCTTTTATACTTTAAAAAAAATAATAAGTGAACACAGAGAGCCAGGGTTATTAAGAGACATGTTGTAGTTAGTGAAAAGTGGCAAACAACAACGCTGTATAGCCTAGACTCTCTTTGTGTACTTAATCTCAGCACTTTTATAAGTTAAGAGGTAAGTGTTGGTACCAACTGTAACCAAGTAGCAAACCAGTTAAATTGCTTATGAAGCCAAGAGGCATCATCTAGAATAAATACCATGGCAATGGAGGTTTCTCTTTGTGTATTTAATTGTAAATCTAGGCAAGTGACAAAAAATATATCTGTTTATATTGAATTCCTTACTCTATGGCTAGGCAAGTGTCCATTGTATTTGAGTATTTTGCATCCATTATCACCCCTATTATCATCTCAAACAACTGTCCGGAGTCTGCCTACGGCTCTCTCTCCTACACGTGGCTGCTTGATCGCATAAAATATAGTAATCCTGAATAGTCTTGCCTTATGCGTAACGTCATGTTATAAACAAATGAAAATAATTGTTTTATTGCAATTCACTCTAACGAAAACAAACCATGTTACGTAAACAGCGACCGATAAAGAAAGGTTGCATCAAAGGTCATTTTACGACTATGATTTACTCGCATTTGGTCAATATTTTAATGAGCTGCGAAATATTTTTGTATCATGCAACCACGGCCAGAATGGGAGAGGATTGCCTATTTTAATTTTACGGTGGTTTGCGACGATGTAAGAATTTGGAAAACCAAGAACGTTCCTCAGGAGATATCTCTGGTCTCGCACAATACTACAAACATTTTGAGAGTATTGCATTAGCAATACTAGTCCCCTACCGGCAAGTGTAATCTGGTTCCCGTTAAAAATTGAAAATGCCATAAATCCGTCGAAAATCTGTGGAGCGGAACGAAATGTTAACAAAATGCAAAAGTCAATGACTCATCAAGGTAAAGTCAAGTCGCATACCAAAAATCAGCTCAATATCTGCAAGCGAAAAAAGTGCGGAAAACCAAGTGGGACAGATTGACAGACAGAGAGAGGGACAGACAGGCGAACGGGCGGGACAGACTCAGAGGAAACCTATAGTCCCCTCCGGTTTCATCGGTAGGGGACTAATAAGCAAGGGTAGTTTTAACAGATTTTTTAAAATTCTTTGGCATGAAAGCTTCATCAATCAGTAAATTTTGTTTTATACTTCTATGTATCCTTACCGTTCACTGTAGCTCATTCGGTAGAGCGCTCGCTTCGTGATCGGGAGGTCGTGAGTTCGATTCTCGGCCGCAACTGACCTAAGTCGATAAAAAAAATGGGTAGCAACTGTTTCTTCGCCATGCGCTCGGCACTTTGAAGTGAAAGCTGCAGGTCCTTCGGATGAGACCTTAAAAACCGAGCCCCCTGTCACGACAGGCGTTGGCATGATAAAGATCCCTCACTACTCAGTGAGTGTCGAGTAAATCTCAAAATTTGAAGCCCTTCACCGGTATATGGTGACATCTTTATATGAGTGAAAAATTCTCGAATGGGACGTTAAACAACATACAATAAATCTATGGATCCTTTACAGTGTTGTATTATGCTCAGGTGACCGTTAAGATCCTTGGCCCTCTTGTTAACGATTGCATTGAATTAAATGGTTTCAAACCCAATACCCCATGTACCAGGGGAGGGCAATAACCCTGAAATCCATAGATTTTTTTCTTTCACCAAAAATTATTAGCCAAAATAGATTAAAATTGAACAGTGGTTGAAGAGAAAACTAAAAATTTCAATTTTTAACGCACAATATTAATGCACGTCGCACGACTGACGAAAAACGGAGACGGACGAAAACAGATAGCAATAGGTCACTTAAGTGGCTCAGGTGAAATTTGAATATATATATATATATATATATATATATATATATATATATATATATATATATATATATATATATATATATATATATATATATATATTGATACCATTATTTTCACGCACATATTGTTTATGTGATTTTTTTTTCTTTTTGGTTGGGTAAAAGGATATTGTTCCTTAGATTAAAAAACCTTAACATTTACATCTTTAAAGGTTCCAGGGTTGACACTAGCATGACAAGTGGCTGGAGCATTTTGGTAGTCGTCCTTGCCTACATCCTTACAGCAGGTCTTAGGAATCTGTGAATTAGTAAGTTGACAAGATCCAGATGTTGTACACCAGGGTGTCGTATCAAAGTCATTTGTTGTTCCCATCACCTCTTTTACAGCACAGCAGTCGTACTAAAATTACAAATGAACAAAGTAATTTCAATTTGTTTAAATCTCCAATATTGTTTGGTATCAATTAAGTGGATGAGTTTCTTAACCTAAGAAAGTAAAAAAAAAAAAAACACACACAACATTTTAATCATATTTGACTTTTCATGTATTGTGCAGTGCACCAAGTTTTCATACAATCATTCCTTTAATGTGCATATTATTTCTCGATACTATTTGTATAACTTCGTATAATTACATTTTTATTGATAATTTTTAACAATTAAAATATGTGTTATACGGTGCAAATATAGTATTATACTTGCGTGAAACTTAAAGGTATAGTAGAGGTAAAATTGGAATAACAATGAAAATAAAACTCATAGCACAGTGAATAATGGTATAATTTGAATTCAATGCCCTTAAAATACTAAGAGATGCAAAATAGATTTGTTTTGATTGATGATATAACCAGAAGTCTCTGATGAGATTGTAGCTCTTCTGGTTTGTATCTATAACAAAGGAAGGAAAAAGTAGCACTTCCATGCACTTGAAACTATGCAACAGCAATGAATAGAATAATGTTCTTTGGACTAGTTCCTTTGTGACAGGTTTGATTGCAGATTAAAACTGTTAGAGGAGTAACCTTTTAAAAGAATTTCAGAAAAAAATCTATTTTTAGAAGCCATCACAAGACCGTTTATCAAAATAAAAAAAAATATGTAAAATTATGTATCTCAGTGTAGTCTACTTGTGTGCTAAATTATATTGATTTGAAATATATGGAGATAACGGACGGTATTCAAGCTCAAAAGTCCATTAAACAATATAAAACAGGAGCAGAGCAAACACGGGCCTCCAAAATATCAGAGATGGGATCAGGTGCCATGGAGGAGTGAGCATTCCCTGCCGACCGGTCACACTCGCCGAGTGCTCCTTGTCGTGATCGGGAAATAACGGAAAAATCCGTCGACAATTCAGTGTATAAATAATGGTCTAACAATTAGTATGAAAAACGTCAGTCAGCATTTGACTCAATGATAAATTGTATTTGCTGACAAGGTCATTGTATCGACCATAGAACTTACGAAATGATGACTTTAAACGAGACTGCTGATACATGTATTCTTGTTTCATCAACTTGTTTGTCAATAATGTACATACATAGAGCATGCTCTTGCGTATCGAATCAATTGAGAGATATAAACCCCGTATGCAGGTGATGAAGGTATATTGCTGCATAAGTAAGGGAAGGTGACGATTGAAAAGTTAAAGTCATCACGTTTATCATGAGGCTTGGTTGTTAGATCAGATGAAAACTGTATGAGGAGTAGCATTTTGGAAGTATTTCATAGGAATTTCTATGTTTTGATACCATGGCAACACCATTATGCCAAATCAAAAAAATAATACACAGAATTATTTATCTGAGGTTGAAATCTTGAATCCAAATTATATTCAAATCAGACCAAAACTGTAGGGGGAGTAGGGTTTTAAAAGTATTTCACAAATATTTCTAATTTTAGTAACAATGGCAACAACATTCACCAAATAAAAGAGCAAAAAAAAAAAAAAAAAAAAAAAAAAAAAAAAAAAATGATAAAAAGAATTCTGTTTCTCAGTGTAGAATACTTGTGTGCCAAGTTATACTGAAATCAGACTAAAACTATAGGAGAAGTGGCATTTTGAAAGTATTTCACGGAAATTTCTATTTTTTGTAACAATGGCAACACTGCTAAAAAATCAAAAAAACACGCAAAGAATTATGTATCTAAGTGTAGTCTGCTTGTGTACCAAGTAATATTGAAATCAGACAAAAACTGTAGGAAGAGTAGCGTTTTCAAAGTATTTCACAAATATTTCTATTTTTAGTAACCATGGCAACATCGTTATTTCAAATCCAAAAATGATGCACTTAATTATGTATCTTAGTGCAGTCTACTTGTATGCTAAGTTATATTGAAATCAGACAAAAACTGTACGAGAAGTAGAGTTTTTAAAGAATTTCACAGAAATTTTTATTTTCAGTAACAATTGCAACACCGTTATTCCAATTCAAAAACCGATGCACTAAATTATGTATCTTAATGTAGTCTACTTGTGTGCCAAGTTATATTGAAATCAGAGTAATAGGAGTAGCGTTTTTAAAGAATTTCAGAGATTTTTTTATTTTTAGTAACCACGGCAACACCGTTAATCAAAATCAAAACTAATGCACATAATTATGCATCTTAGTGTAGTCTACTTGTGTTCCAAGTTATACTGAGATCAGACCAAAACTGTATGAGGAGTAGGACTGTCATTCGATTCATTCTCTGGGCTCCATCAGTTAATCAAGACCCCTTATAAATCATATTTAACTGCAATTGTGAAAAGGTATGTCCAAAGATGTTTCGAATATTCAATTTTAACTGATTTCTTCTATAAAACACCAGAGAAAAGAATAGAATCAATCAAATGCCAACAATCAATTATGTTTGGGAGGAAAAATAAAAATAACTATACGTATTTACCCTATGCTGTAAAAAAATAAGATATTTCATATTTGACATCCTCGAGCTTACATTTAGAAAGTGTTTATGACATATGCAAGCAATTAAACAGTTTGTCATTAAATAAAGTGTAACTTCTGGCTGTTTTCTAGCAGAGACCTGATATTCAAACAAAGAGTTAAGGAGTCTTCATACTTTATATAAATTAAAGATCAAGGTCATATTAAGATGTCAAAGGTCAAACATTATGATGCCATCTTCTTATTCCTTTACTTATTTTTTTTTTTTTTTTTTTTTTTTTTTTTTTTTTTTTTTTTTTTTTTTTTGAATTGAAATATGTCAAATCGCCGAAATATCTAAAACACATGGTTCCGTCGTTTTGACATATTTTAATATTTGTTTCTTTACAATTATTCTCTTGATTTTTAGCTAGATTAGAATTTAACATTTTCTTCTAAGAGATCTTAAAGTGTAGCATATCCACCTTGGAATTTGCAATTTCTGAGCTACGTATATTCTAATTTTACGTCATATTGTACTTGAATATACTTGAATTAACATATCTCACTGATTTGAAGAAACAAAAACAAAACCAAATAAAATATATATATCAAACGGTAATTGCTAAATAATACATGATCAAATGCTGAATGTCTGATTTTTTTTTCTCTTCTTACGGAGGAAAGATAGACGATATCTCAAACTATATTGGCAAAAAATGTATGGCTTAATATCTTTCATAATTTAAATGTATATGTAAAAAGAAAGATTTTATATCTTAAAACAGAATTTCAAAGTTTTAAACAATTTTAATTTGGTATCTCTATTTTATACTGTTTTTTGTAATGTAGCCTAGATCTCTGACGAATGATGACATATGAAAGGTACTAATAATATGGAGTAAACGAGGGGTACATGTACTTAACAATCTATTGGCTATTTTAGTGTATGACAAAGGTACGTAAAGATCCTATAGTTCTTGTTCTATATAGAATATAAATACACTCTATACCATATTTGAAATAAAAGAATATTTATAATTTGTCTGAATTTCCATGGGTAATAATTGCGCCCCGTTATTAGCAGACCTATTTTTTGTATTCATGTGAAGCAGAATTTGTTCAAAAACTTATACAAGACAGGAAGAAAACACTTGTTGTGACCTTCAACACGACGTTTAGATATACTGACAATGTATTTTCTATAAACAATAGTTACTTCCATTCATATGCAAATGATGACTTGATTTATCCCCTGAAACTTGAAAAAAAATATCACAAAGTCTGACAAATTTCTTTTTATATTCAGATATTTTGCTGGAAAAAAGACGTCAAAGGTAACCTTACAACAGAAGTTAATGAAAAACGTGATGACTTTTATTAACTTTTCTATCGTCAACTTCATTTACTTACCCTTACATGTATCAACAGCATATGGGGTTTATGTCTCCCAGTTTATTCGATATGCAAGAGCTCGAGCATGCTCTACTAACTAACAATTTCTAAGACGAGCAAAACTTTTGATAAATAAGTTGATGAAACAAGATTAATTACAGTCTCATTTAAAGTCATTAATTCGCAAGTTTTATGTTCGATATAATGAACCGAACAGCAAATATAGTCTATCATTGAATCGAATGCTGACTGAAAATTTTTAAACTCATTATTAGGGAATTATTAACACACTAAATTACTACGGATTTTTCTTTATTTTCTCAGATCATGAGCATGACAAGGAAAACACGGTGGGTGTTACCGGTCGACAGAGGATGTCGACGTCTCTATATGACGCCTGATCCCACATCTCATGTTTTTAGGAGGTCAGTGTTTGCTCTGCTCCTGATTTTTATTGCTTTAATACAATTTTGAGCATGATCTCTGTTCGTTATCTTCATATTTCATTTCGTGTATGTCATATATATGAATCATTTCTTGCAAATTTTACTATTTAAGATTTTTACCTTGATGAAAAAAGTGTTCCATCTTCCAGACGCAGTATTGATGTTGGTGATATCATCAGATGAGTATGTTTGTCCTAAAGATTTCAGCATAATACTCTTTATTTCATCATAATCCTGAAGAAGAGAATACCATCTGAGATTCGTATCAAAATTTCCATAATTAAGATGCAATATTATGGCATGTATATTATCTTTGAATTGAGCAATTGATAAGATTATTATAATTACGTAATATACATTCAACAGAAACCTACCGGGCCTTTTTGAGATGATTTTAAATCTGCCATTTCTGTGTAAGTTTTCAAAAGTTGATAAGAAAATACTAATGCCTCCAAAGCAAGCTATAAAAAAGGGAAATGTCATATTTAAACTGAATAATAAAGGCAGTGAAATATATGGAGATACCGGACATTATTCAAAAGTCCATTCAAACAACACTAATCAGAAGCTTATCAAAATTAAACTTTTTTACCTTAAAACTGCTTTTATATTGATGACACACTTACACAGCAATGTAAAAATATTAATCCATATTTGCGACTTCCAGGAGACACAAGCATTAATCCAATAAAGAGGAAAAGGAAATCGAGGCACATGGAAGTGATCCCCACCATTTCTATGCTTTTTAATTTTTCTCTCATATTTTCATTTTTACATGACATTGAATATGTGATGTTAAGTGATCTCAGTGCTTCCCCTCTTTCACAAACTGGTCTTTCTTTCGTTAATCTGGTCCAAGTCACCAAAATACAAGCAAAAACCTAAACAAATAATAAAAATAATAATAACTAGATACTTATTGCCTAGGCAATAACAGGTTTTCCGTTTTCTTGATTCTTTTGTCAACTGTTCTGAAAAAAAAAGCAGAAAATGTCAAAAAAAAAAAAAAAAAAAAAGTTCTCCCAGCATGGATCGAACTCAAAACCTTCGGGTTATAAGACCTGTGCGCTAACCACTAGACCACGTATTCCGATGAAGATGGAGGTAGTAAATTAATTGTTTAAGAATAAATAGGAATAAAAGCACGTGTTCTTTTGTTTGTTATGGAATGTAGTGATCAGTATTGAATAGATTGAGAAACACGATTGGTGTATAATGCAAATGCAGATTGTCGGTTTAAAAAATTATTTGAGTTTGTCTAGATTTTGAATGCATTGAATTAATCATTCAGAGCCTATGATGCATTAGAACTGCAGTGTCGAGACTTTGTTTACAAATATATGAAAATGTCGGATCGGGTTCGGATGTGACTGAATATCCTGAAATAATAGGTAAGATTAAAATAAGCATCTCTGTGTGGACTGAATTAAATGTAAGTAGCATGAAGCAAAATTTCAGATATGCATTTCAGAAAGAAAAATGTGTCAATGAGAGCGTGAAAATTTATTTGCTAGGAAAAAATCGCTGTTTTCGACATTCATTCGATTAATATTAATTCTAAATAAAATTGAAATAAATTCCACATACTAGAGAAAACAAGAATGCTTGGTGTTAAAATATCATATCATATCAAGAGAATCGATTGCTATTCATAACAATTGAAGAAATAACCGAGAAAAGCTTTAATTAATTTTTATGTTCATCGGCACCTAAATTTCAGATACGAAAAAAGATGTTGTGTTTGCCGTTAACATTCAGAATTTCTATATTCTTCAGAGATTCACCATCAAATTTTCAGGAAACTTTCTTTCAGGTATCTTCTGCAAAACCCCGAAATTTTATGTCGATCCGAGGTGTTGTATGAGTTCTAGAGAAATATTCTAGGCTGATATTAATCTGATTTTTTTTTTTTTTTTTTTTTTTTTTTTTTTTTTTTTTTGATTTTTTTTTGGGGAGAAGGGGAGGGGAGAAAGAGGAGTAAATTAATTATTGATTCTGACCTTTTGGTCAAAGGTCAAGGTCATCAAAGTTCAAGGTCAAAGGTTAAGATCAAAGGTCAAGGTCATGAGAAAATCCCGGAAATAAATTTACTTTCTATGTTTTTTTTTTACTTCATCAAGACTGAAATTACTCCAAACAAATAAAATGTTCATTCTACACCTAAATTATTCACAACTGATCATCCCTAAAAGTTTCTATGAAAAACTACTAATGTTTGAAACAACGTCCGGTTTTTAGGCCGGCACTTCCAGTGAAAATGATTTGCATGGTTTTAGTCTATTTAACATCTGCATTAGCCAAACATTTCTGTAAAAAGAAATCAAAATTTGGAAAATTCACTTTTTTTGCATCGCTTCCGGTCACGACGGAAACTGACGGCAACGTACGATTTTCACATGATGTAGAAAAACTGGTGACTGACTATCAGTCCTGAAAGTTTTAGACTTCAGTCGTTTACTGGTACTGAGCAATTAGGTGAATAAAATCTCAATTTGAGGGCAGGAAAATACGCAACCGGAAGTGAATTATACTAAGATGTTTGACGTCAATTTAGACATCTGCAGTCTCAATAACATATATAAAAATCATTTAAAGAACTCTATCTATAAGCGATATGTATGGGAAAATCCAAAAACCCTATGATGTAGCTTTTCTCTTATAACCGGAAGTTGTTGTTTTTTGTTTCGGGTGGGACCAACACATATCAAAACTGTCAAAAAGATACAATTATATGATGCAAGTCTTATTCCAAAAGAGAAAAGTTGAAATTTTCGATTTCTTTGATCACTTCCTGTGACGACCGGAAGTGACGACTGACGCTCTTAACCCAAATGATTTTGTCTTCTCCTCAAGGTGTATTACTCATAAAGGTTTGGTGTCAAAATCTCTTACCGTTTCTGAGATCTCACTCCGACAATTTCTCATTTTACGGACACCTAAACGCGCGACCGGAAGTGAATTTTACAAAGATATTTGAGGATACTCTAGACATTTGCAGTCTTAATAACATATGTAAAAATCAGTTCAAATACGTTATCTATAAAAAACATTTATGGGAAAGAAAAATACCCAAATTATGTAGTTTTTCTCTTATAACCGGAAGTTGTCGTTTTTGTTTCCGGTGAGACTGACATATTTCGAAACTACAAATGAAATGCAATAACGTGATGCAAAAGAAGATTAAAAAAAGAAAAGTTGAAATTTTCGATTTCCATTATCACTTCCTGTGACGACCGGAAGTGACGGCTGACGCTCTTAACCCAAATGGTTTTGCCTACTCCTCAAGATCTATTAACAATTAGAGTTTGGTGTCTTAATCTCTTACCGTTTCTGAGATATGACTGGGACAAAATATTTTTGAAAAAGACGGAAATCGGACATATCTGACGACCGGAAGTGAATTTTGAAAAAATGAAAAAAAACGCCTGGGGGTATTTTCATTCTCTGTCATCCCTGAGAATTTCAAGAAAATCCGCCCAGCCATCTCTGAGAAATCGAGGGGACAAGAAAAGGGGGAAAAAAAATAATAATAATAACTAGATACTTATTGCCTAGGCAATAACAGGTCTTCCGTTTTCTTGATTCTTTTGTCAACTGTTCTGAAAAAAAAGCAGAAAATGCAAAAAAAAAAAAAAAAAAAAAAAAAAAAGTTCTCCCAGCATGGATCGAACTCAAAACCTTCGGGTTATAAGACCTGTGCGCTAACCACTAGACCACGTATTCCGATGAAGATGGAGGTAGTAAATTAATTGTTTAAGAATAAATAGGAATAAAAGCACGTGTTCTTTTGTTTGTTATGGAATGTAGTGATCAGTATTGAATAGATTGAGAAACACGATTGGTGTATAATGCAAATGCAGATTGTCGGTTTAAAAAATTATTTGAGTTTGTCTAGATTTTGAATGCATTGAATTAATCATTCAGAGCCTATGATGCATTAGAACTGCAGTGTCGAGACTTTGTTTACAAATATATGAAAATGTCGGATCGGGTTCGGATGTGACTGAATATCCTGAAATAATAGGTAAGATTAAAATAAGCATCTCTGTGTGGACTGAATTAAATGTAAGTAGCATGAAGCAAAATTTCAGATATGCATTTCAGAAAGAAAAATGTGTCAATGAGAGCGTGAAAATTTATTTGCTAGGAAAAAATCGCTGTTTTCGACATTCATTCGATTAATATTAATTCTAAATAAAATTGAAATAAATTCCACATACTAGAGAAAACAAGAATGCTTGGTGTTAAAATATCATATCATATCAAGAGAATCGATTGCTATTCATAACAATTGAAGAAATAACCGAGAAAAGCTTTAATTAATTTTTATGTTCATCGGCACCTAAATTTCAGATACGAAAAAAGATGTTGTGTTTGCCGTTAACATTCAGAATTTCTATATTCTTCAGAGATTCACCATCAAATTTTCAGGAAACTTTCTTTCAGGTATCTTCTGCAAAACCCCGAAATTTTATGTCGATCCGAGGTGTTGTATGAGTTCTAGAGAAATATTCTAGGCTGATATTAATCTGATTTTTTTTTTTTTTTTTTTTTTTTTTTTTTTTTTTTTTTGATTTTTTTTTGGGGAGAAGGGGAGGGGAGAAAGAGGAGTAAATTAATTATTGATTCTGACCTTTTGGTCAAAGGTCAAGGTCATCAAAGTTCAAGGTCAAAGGTTAAGATCAAAGGTCAAGGTCATGAGAAAATCCCGGAAATAAATTTACTTTCTATGTTTTTTTTTTACTTCATCAAGACTGAAATTACTCCAAACAAATAAAATGTTCATTCTACACCTAAATTATTCACAACTGATCATCCCTAAAAGTTTCTATGAAAAACTACTAATGTTTGAAACAACGTCCGGTTTTTAGGCCGGCACTTCCAGTGAAAATGATTTGCATGGTTTTAGTCTATTTAACATCTGCATTAGCCAAACATTTCTGTAAAAAGAAATCAAAATTTGGAAAATTCACTTTTTTTGCATCGCTTCCGGTCACGACGGAAACTGACGGCAACGTACGATTTTCACATGATGTAGAAAAACTGGTGACTGACTATCAGTCCTGAAAGTTTTAGACTTCAGTCGTTTACTGGTACTGAGCAATTAGGTGAATAAAATCTCAATTTGAGGGCAGGAAAATACGCAACCGGAAGTGAATTATACTAAGATGTTTGACGTCAATTTAGACATCTGCAGTCTCAATAACATATATAAAAATCATTTAAAGAACTCTATCTATAAGCGATATGTAT